AATAAATAAATGAAAAAATGCTCAACATCATTAGTCATTCAAGAAATGCAAATTAAAACAACACTGAGATTCCATCTCACCCCAGAAAGAATGATTATCATTAAGAAATCAACCAATGACAGATGCTGGAAAGGCTGTGGAGAAAATGGAACACTTCTCAACTGCTGGTGGGGGTGTAAATTAGTGAAACCACTGTGGAAATCAGTTTGGAGATTTCTCGCAAAACTAGGATTAGAAGTCCCACTTAACCCAGTTATTTCCCTTCTGGGTATTTTTCCAGAAGAATTAAAAGCATCATGCCACAGTGATATGTGCACCCATGTTTATAGCAATGCAATTTGTCATAGCTGAATCTTAGAAATAACCCAAGTGCCCATCAGCTGAGGAATGGATAAAAATGATGTGGTATTTTTATATAATGGAGTATTACTCAGCTATAAAAAAGATAAACTTGAGGCTTTTATAGGTAAATGGATGCAACTAGAGACCATATTCATAAGTGAAATAAATGGGACCCACATGTGTAAACATCATATTGTCTCCCTAGTGTAAGAACATGAAAGAGTAAATAAAACCCAAAATGTACAATAGATAATATGAAAGGGAAAGAAATTACTCAAAGGAAGGAACAATGGGGATGAGGGAAAGAAGAAAAAGAAAGTACTAAGGCATTTTATAGATAGATAGATAGATAGATAACTGCCATAACTATACCACTGATGTCTGGTGGTTTATTGAGGGGAACAGTTAATGCTTAAAAATTTTTATATATTTTGACCAATTTTGCATGCTTATATCTGGTAATCTGAGCACTTATGTGAAGACAATTTGCAGTATAGCAACCATTGGTGAATTCCTACAATCCTGTCTAGTGAAACTATTGTATTGTCTCTCGTGTTCTTTTAAACTATTATTTTCTTATTCCTTTTAACGGTTTGCTCAATCTTCCATTCTTACGTCTGGTAATCTGAGCAATTTTGTTGAAAATAACAATATGTAATATAGCAACTGCTGTTAATCCCTATCATTTGATTTGAAACCCCATATCATTTTTAATGTCCTTGCTTTGTTTTGTTTGTATTTTGTTATTGTCTTTGAAATAAAAAAAAAAAAAAAGGACCTCTAAATTTTTCTACTTCATGTCCGGCTCTCCCTCAGGGATTCCTCAACAGGGGTTTCTTTGGTCTGTGTTATTTTCCTTATGACAACTAACCTATCACATTTCCAATCAGAAAGCAGTCCAGAATTAAGGTTTGAAAAATAAATTGTAGAGACGAAAAGTGTTTGGTACAATTGAATTTCCGCCAATGTCTACTACTTGTGTGGTGTGTGGTTACACACAAGTAGTACCTGCCCTTCTACTGAGAGTAGTTTGGTGTATTTGAAATGTCTCTTAGCAACAATGGAACCCTGGTGGAGCCAGGGTCCAAGATTTCTGAACCAGATCTCCATCTACTGCCATTGTCCCTACCTGAATCATGGCTTTGGTACTTACGAGCTATGTGACCTTGGACAACTTATTTAAATGCTTTAGCCTTACTGTCCTTAAAATGACCCTTAAATGAGATATGATATGTTTAGTGTATGGTAGAGTCTTGATGAATTTCATTCCCTTTAATCATACTCTCTACATTTTAGAAGGAATTTATTCACCTGCCTTACCTCTTGCTTAATAGACAGGCTGAAGTTTAGGTTAAAGAACATGTTACTCAGGGACAGGTTGAAGAAGGATATGGAATAACTGTCCTAAGTAGTCACAGGGATTGATGACACTCTCAGACCCCAGGTTGCTGTGGTCAGACCAAGAGATACTGTTTGAATTCAGCTCCATTTCTGAGAATACTTGCAATGTTGATTTCTGAGACAAATCTCTCAGTAGGACTGGGACTCCTCACTAACAGCCAGCCAAGAACCTTGGAGATGGCAATGATTTTAATCTTACATTATGGAGTGGAAGACACAATTATGGCTTTTATACATGGGTCTTAAGAGCATAAGTACTTGTCTCAAGAATATGACATTTCTGGGTCCATATTAAGGGTAACAACTTATGTGACTCAACTTTTTAAGCAGAGATCTTCTTTTATTCACATTTATCTTCTTAAGTGCCTATCCTATTGCTTTGCACATAGAAGTTGCTTATCCAGTGGTATTCACTTTATTTAATATCCCATAGTTTGAAACTGAAGGAATAAAATGGAATTTAAAATTGCCAGTAAGAAAGAGCCAGACTTACTACAAGAACCAAGAAGAAACCAAAGCTGAGCTATATCTTTCTGTGTACTAGACTTTGCTTACATAATTATTATCTGTAGACTTTCATTATGTGTTAGAAAGTTATCACTGCATTCAGGAATACTACCATGGAAATGTGTTGATAGGATAACTAGATGAGGGGCTGCCATAGTTAGTCCTAATTCCTGAAGCCATGTCTAGTTACCAGGAAGAGACAGTAGTTCCCTCTGTGGGATGGATTAAGACATTAAGACATTCTGTACTGCCATAGGCTGGGAGCTTAGCTCAAATCCACTCTTTGTGGGAAGAATGCCATAGGAGAATTTAAGATTTTGTTGTTACTGTTGTTTTGAGATAGGGTCTCACTATGTAACCCAGGCTGACTTTGAATACACAGTCCTCTTGCCTCAGCCTCCATAGTGCTAGGATGGCAGGTATGTACCACCACACCTGGCTGAGAATTTAACTTTTAAATCAGTAGACTACAGTGTTTTATCATTGATTCTTATGGAATAGCTGCTCCTACTGTAGCTCATCAGCTTATATTATCTTTTCCCTTAAGGCCTGGTTTTACTACTTTCCAGTTTATTGGTATGACATTTCCCCCCAAGATCTGAAAGGAAGTGCTCCAAACAGGGAAAAGGAAGTAGAGAAAATAATTTAATCTTAGAATGAGTTGAAGTGTGTATAAGTTGCTGATGAGTTGTTCCATCTCTTAGATTTTAACTCCTGAGGTCTGTCGTCATCTGTGTATCCCTACTGCCTAGGGGATCCACGGTGTCAGTTCAGTAAATGCTTACTGATTATAAATAAATCAAAGGAAACACTGCAAGGAGCTAGAGATGTGAAATTGATGGTATAAGTAACACATCCTAAAAAAGCTCAAGAAAAAGAAAACAGCATTGTGAGCCAGAATGCTCAGAGAAGGTTCTGTGGAAGAGGGAGTCAGTGTTCCAAGGAAACACTGCATTCTCTGTCCAAAGGTGGGATAGAATATGAAAAGATTGTGGACTTCCAAGTCACTTAGTCCCTATGACCTCAATTTCTTTTTCTTTCTTTCTTTCTTTCTTTCTTTCTTTCTTTCTTTCTTTCTTTCTTTCTTTCTTTCCTTCTTTTTCTTTCTTTCTTTCTTTCTTTCTTTCTTTCTTTCTTTCTTTCTTTCTTTTTCTTTCTTTCTTTCTCTTTCTTTCTTTCTTTCTTTCTTTC